TTATGGAATATGAGAGTTCTGCACCATTTTCACACACTACCTGTATTCATAATGCATAAAGACAGAACTGTTATGTATGTGGTTCCTTAGAATGACTGCAAATAACTATAAACATTAATTTTATATTTAGTAGTACAATATAAAATATAATAAATAATTCAGCCCCTCCATGGCAGATGATTAGCCTAGAATATGAGCAGCAACCTTGTTGTTGGACCATATCTGGCATTATGGCTTTAACAGCATTATGGCAGATGTAGTCTACTACATCTCAAGAGATGAATTTGCTTCTGCACTTTTGTAAAGTGTTCATTCCATTACATTTTAACTCTTTCTCTTTAAATGTACTCACACATACTATATATTGTTTTTTAAAGGAAAGATAGGCCATTCTTTTAACCCCTTAAGGACCAAACTTCTGGAATAAAAGGGAATCATGATATGTCACACATGTCATGTGTCCTTAAGAGGTTAATATACAAATTTTTACTTTTAAAGGTACTTCTTTTGGTGGAGTGGGAGTCCGCACACTTTAAGTGAGCAGTCTTCCCACCCCGCTTTATTTTTCGTCTATACCAAAGGCTTATACCATTTTATGGATACTTAATTCGTTTAGAGCTTCTCGTTTATGGAGGAGGGACCCCCCACATATTTGTGAGAAGTTATCCTGACTCCATTTAGTAGTTTCTGTTCCATTCTTCTAATATTTCATACTTATACTTAACACAACACTAATTATAAAAAATAAATATTAAAAGTGAAAAGTGAAAAAGAGACACATTTTCAACAGTTTTGTCCATAATAAATTCTACACACATAGTACAACTATTGCTGTGTGTGAGAGCCATTGTAGGCTGTTACCGGACATCCTCACAACTGAAGAATTAACCCCTTAAGGACGCCGGACGTTCTATGCCGTCCTTCTTTGGGCGGTCCTAAATGCCGGCAAAAGCCTTGTTTGCCTTGTGGCAAATACATCACTGCATAGGGAGGTGAGGACACTTAGTTACCCAGCAGAACCTTCCACTTATATAGGCCCTTAGGCCCCTCCTCATGGGATCCCATTCCCTTTTCCCTATTTATGCACAGACCACCAGGGCTGCCATCAGAAATTTTGGGGCCCCTGACACAGCCCAAAGTGCTGCCCCCCCATGCCCCCCCCCCCCCGAGTCCACCCACAGGGATGCATTGTCTGTACTGATTCTGGTGTGTGTGTATAGTGGATGTAGAATGTGTGTAGTGGATGCAGAGTTCGTGTGTTAAGTGGATGTGGTGTGTGTTTAACGGATGCAGTGTGTATAGTGGATGCAGATTGTACATTTGTGTAATGTATGAGGTGTATATTAGAGGCAGAGTGTGTGTTTGTGTAGTGGATGTAGTGTGTGTTTATAGTGAATGCAGAGTGTGTATGTGTGTTTGTGTAGTGGATGTAGTGTGTTTGTGTGTATTAAATGTGATGTGTATAGTGAATGCAGAGTGTGTGTTTGTGTAGTAAATGTAGTGTGTGTGTGTAGTGAATGCAGAGTGTGTGTAGTGGATGTAGTGTTTAGTGAATACAGTGTGTGGATGCAGAGTGTGTCTTTGTGTAGTCGATGTAGTGTGTGTATAGTGACTACATAGTGTGTTTTTGTGTAAGTACTTAATGTGTGTATAGTGACTGCGGACTGTGTGTTTGCATAGTGGATGTAGTGTGTGTAGTGACTACAAAGTGTGTGTGTGTGTGTGTTTGTGTAGGCACTGCAGAGTGTGTGTTTGTGTTAGGAAGTAGTGTGTGTAGTGACTGCAGAGTGTGTGTTTGTGTAAGGATGTAGTGTGTGTAGTGACTGCAGAGTGTGTGTGTGTGTGTGTTTGTGTAGTGACTCCAGAGTGTGTGTTTGTGTAAGGATGTAGTGTGTGTAGTGACTGCAGAGTGTATGTTTGTGTAAGGATGTAGTGTGTGTAAATTTTTGTGAATATTGTGTGTATATGTTAGTGTATAGTTTCTATAAATGTTAGTTAATAGTGTGTGTAAATGTTAGTGTATAGTGTGTGTAAAGTTAGTGTATAGTGTGTGTAAATGCTAGTGAATAGTGTGTGTAAATGTTAGTGAATAGTGTGTGTGTAAATGTTAGTAAATAGTGTGTGTAAATGTGTTAGTGAATCATATGTGTAAATGTTAGTGAATAGTGTGTGTAAATGCTAGTGAATAGTGTGTGTAAATGTTAGTGTATAGTGTGTGTAAATGTATGGGGCTGCAAAATGTGGGGGGGGAAGCCTACAGTTTGTTTTTTTCCATCCATTAATTGTATTGTTTTATTCCCCCCTCCCTGTATCTCACCTGTGGCCATGGAGGGGGGAGATCACATTGGCTGGAGCCCTGGAGCCAGAGGTCCTGAGGAATGGTGCAGCCCCCACTACCTGTATTCTGCAGGGGGCCCAGCACACTTGAAATATACTGCCCAGATGCTCTGCTCTGTCGAAGTCTCGCGAGCCATGCGGAGCGTTGCAAGACTTCGACAGAGCAGAGCATCTGGGCAGTATATTTTCGAGGGTGCTGGGCCCCCTGCAGAATACAGGTAGCTTGAGGCCCGCAGTGCACACATATTTAGCGTTAATTGCTATATATGTGTGCACATAGTTAATGTGGGCAGTGGCGTACACACAACACATGGCGGCGGGCACCTGGTTGCAGGGGTCACAGAGCTGCGATCCCTGCGACTGCAGTATGTACGCCAGTGCATGCAGATACACATACACCTAAAGGACCACTACAGACACCCAGATCACATCAGCTCAATGAAGCTCTAGCCAGGTCCCTCTAGTTTTACCCTGCAGCTGAAAACATAGCAGTTTCAGAGAAACACTAAGGGTTAATCCAGCCGCTAGTTGCTGTCTCATTGACAGCCACTAGAGGAGCTTCCGCGATTCTCACTGTGAAAATCATAGTGAGAAGACGCTGAACGTCCATAGGAAAGCATTGAGTAATGCTTTCCTATGGGCGGTTTGAATGCGCACGCAGCTCTTGCCACGCATGCGCATTCTGAGCTGAGAGGCGTATCAGGGCGGAGAGATCCCCAGGGCCAAGGGAGTCTGGCGCTGGAGAAAGGTAAGTGCTTAAGACACACACATACTCTCACGAATAGACGCATACACACTAGCTAGCAGACACACACATTTACTGACAGACACACACTCAGTGACAGACATACACACACTCACTCACAAAACACACACTCACTAACAGACGCACACAAACTAACACACTCAGTAACAGACACACACAGTAACACACTCACTGACACACTCTAACACACAAACACACTAACACACATACACTCCGGTATCAGTGCGGTGCGCGAGGGAATTGAAGAGGGAGCACACAGGGGAGAGTGCTCCCTCGCACACCCGCCAACCCGCCCGCCTGCCCGCCTGGTGACACCAGGGCCAGCCTCCGGGGGCCCTGAGGTGACCGGCTGCTGGGCACCCCAGGAGAAGAGGCTGGCCACAGTGGGTACATACTGGGTCGCAGGGCGGCCGGGCCCCCTGCGACCCCGGTATGTATGCCACTGAATGTGGGGCCCGGGACGACCTGAGCAGTCCGGGCCAACCAGGACCGCTGGGCCCATGACAATCGTTATGGTTGTCATGCCCTGATGGTGGCCCAGCAGACCACCCTAGGGTCTATGCTAAGTTGTTTTGTTGGTCCCCTGGAGTACAGAGCCGGATTCTGCCTGAAGTGAGTTGATTACCCTCACCTGTGGATTCCCTGAATCAACTCTTGTCTGCATGAAGTCTGTCTTAAGTCTTGGTAAACCCCTGAAATACTGTTTCAACCTTAATTAACCCCTGTAATGCTGATTCAATCTTGGTTAACTCCTGTAATGCTGTGTCAACCTTGATTAACCCCTGCAACACTGTCCCAGCTTTGATTTATCTCCTGCAATTCAACTACAGTTTCAATCAAGTCTTTCTTTATTTACCAAGTGCTGGAACTCTTGTAAAAGGACTTTATTTTTCCTTAAAGACTTGTATTTTATTATGAAGGAATTACTGTGTTTACTGTTTATACATGCATCGGTACTTGCATCACATTCATTTGTTTTCCAAAAATAAGACCTTTTATTTCAGTGACTGTGCCCTTATCAATCTCTGCATACCGAGCCCATTCACCCCAAATCCGTGACAATTATATAATTTTTGTATTAACATATAATATAACAATTGCAACAAAAGTCACTTGGTGCACAGGTCCTTATAACCTTCTGCCTTAAAAACTCTACAAAATAAACTAATACAGGATACATCATCTCAATAACAAATAACCTGATGTGGCAGAAAAATGCTCAAAACATGGAATAATTAAGGATAATTTTCCGTACCAATTTAATGCAGAAATGCTTTACCTGCATTTTCTTTTCTTTTTTTAAAATTTTTATTTTTTTATTTTTATTTTTGCCGTGCATAGATATATAACTACAATCGAGAGGTACCCCAACGGCATTCCTCACGCTGAATTTCAACAAGTATAACAGCGGGGTATACTAGATTACTAGCACATTTTTATTATTTAGGATGATAGACATGTAGACATTTAACGATAGAGGTACAAATAGTGTGTATTCTTAGCTGTGCATAACAGGTTCAACAGTATCCTGTCACATTTAGTGCTTACTGGTTCAAGCTTATACTCAGTAGTGTGGGACACGGTTAATGAGCCCACACGGGAGGGTAATATTGGTGACCAGAGATGCATATTGCAGGAATGTTTGCGTCGGGCAAATTATAGGGTTTGTCAGATTTGCTTGAATTAAAGTGTGTGGTGAAGAGAGTTATGGATAGGGAGCTGAAGGCGCAATACAAGATTGGTCAGTGGGGTATAATACGGAGACTTATTTAGGGCTGTAAGTGAAAGGTATTACTTGAGCTTACGTATGTGTCTGGCTACTGGTTATTGCCTGGTAACTTAGAGTAAAACAAAATAAAATAAAATGGTTGTGGCAATTGACTTTCAACAGCTTATGTCAGTGTGGGTATGCATCAGGTTCTGCATTTGGGTCAGGCTGGTGGTCGGAGTGAAGGTAGCCACAGCCCTTCATCCGATGCCACTGGTGTGCTACCTTTGTTAGGTAGTCCATTCTCTGGCCCGGTGTGGTGTCACTCCGCTCTCCCCCGCTGTTCTGTGTCCAGTGCCAGTCCCCTTTCGGGTCGAGCCCGTACAGTAGCTGTGCTGTGTGGCCGGGGCTTATCTGTGGATGCCGTCTATGTGGGTGGGTGGCCACGCAGATGTGGCGTGTAGTGGAGTATCTGCTTCCAGCTTGCTCTTGGGGTACAGCCGCGCCACTGTTGGCCTGACGTCCGCCCATCTTCAGTTTAATAACGTGCTTATGGTTCCCTTTGGAAGTCCGCTGCTGCTGTGTAGAGCCGTGGTGTCTCGCAGGTGGGTTTTCTCCCCTGCCCCGGGACCGTGTGTGGGCTGGTGCTTGTAGACCATGAGCCTGGGAACCATTGTGGCCCAGGGTCGGCCCTTTTGGGGTAGTGCGGAGAGTCTTTGCGGTCTGTGTGGGGAGTCGCTTCATTGTTCTCCGCGGGTGTGGCCGGCACCTTGGGGGTATGACCCCTGTTGCCCTCAGCACGGGAGGGCCTTGGATGCTGGAGCCTGTAGCGTGGGGTTTAGGTTTGCCCTGAGGAGGGTCCCCAGCTGCCCGACTGCCGTCGGTTCTATCTCATTGAGGCCATGGGTGGTGAGGTCTCACTAGGTGTAAGAGCGCCTGCAGTCTGGCTCAAAAGTGATCAAATATTGCCTTGATGGGGTCTCTAGCATAGTCCCCTGTGTCTGTTTTATCGACATAACACCGTCTGTTGTCCGGCACTGTCAGGACCTGAGAGTCCGCCATCTTGGAGGCCCGGGACTCCAGATTGTTTCAGAGAGTTGCTGAGCCTGTCGTTTGGTGTGGGGTCCGGGACCCTCCACCTAGCAGGGACTGGGATATCCCCCACCAATCCATGGGGGGGGGGCGCTTTTCGTGGTCGCTTGTGACATTCAGCATTTGTCGGGAAGCCGGCTGTCCTTCCCCCGTGTCTCCGTCAGTAGGCCCCGGTCTGCAGCTGCTTTTCCCGGTTGCACCGGGTAACGAGTATGGTGTTGGCATGTTCAGGACTGCTTCCCCAGTGGGCCGGTTTGTTAACAAGTCGCCTTGAGTTATTTGCAGGTTTAGGGCTCTAACTGCGGGAGCTCATACAGAGTGCGTCTATTCAGGTTGCTGGTTCGGCTCCGCCCCCCTTACCTGCATTTTCTAAAGGGACACAAACACTGTAAAGATAATCTAACTCTATAAGCATTTCATTATAGAGATTAGATTTGTGCAAAAATGTGTTTTTAATAATTTGTCTGCATTAAATGCCTTTTAATCCACACTTGGTTGAATCACCTGTGTACTCTCATTCAGTGAATAAGACTCCACAAGCAAATCCTGGATGATCGATTTCTCCAGATGTGGATTAAAAAGCATTTGATTTGGATGAGCCATCAGAAACAAATTAATAGAGATATATATTTGAGATAAGGATACACATTTTCCTATAGTTAGAAGCTATAGTTAGATGCTGTAGCAGATTAAATGGGTCTTTACAGAGAGCTTGATTTCATATTGTTGCTTAGCAACCAAGAAAATCTGGTATTGTCAATGTTTATAGCAAGAATTTCTACAAGAACATTTAATACATTCAAAATTGCAGAATGAAAATGCTACATAAAATTATGCAATTTTTTTTTTGTATTGTAAAAATTAAACTCACCATTGAAAAACTCCAAATTTATACACATTTTATATAGGATTTCAATATCACACTATTCAGTGAAAACTTATTTTTTAGCTTTTTTTATCAGAATTATAACATAATAAACAATGAAGAAATAGATAGAACATGTTTTGTTTAAATTAACTTCAATAAAATGTTACAAGGGAGTTAAAGGAACACCCCACATACCACAGACACTCCCGTAGTGGTTGTGCCTAATAAACCCCAGGTAAAAAGGCACAGACAAACCAAATGCATTTGGCATGATGCGCAATTGCAAATTATTATTCACTTGCTTAAATAGTATAAATAGTTTAAAAACCCTCAATGACGGGAGGGTTGATTATGTGGCAGTTGGCCAGAGCTTGCTTTCAAAACACAAGATGAAAAAAAAAGTTATTAAATAAATAAAAAGCTTAACAGTCAACAGTCACCTAGTTTCTCCCCCTCTGGTCCCCACCCATTGATGACGTATGGGCCCTGATATTAACAATAAAGCGAGGACTCTTTTGTATCCCCTGGCTCCATCCATGAGCCACAGGTGATGGCCGTAATATTATTACTAAGAAGGGGACCTAACCATGGAAGTTGACATGCCATTGTCTACCCCCCCAAAAATGGAATGTCCCTCTCAGTGGCAGGGCTTGTAGCACAAGCATGGACGAATGGTAAATTTGTTGTACAACTCAATTCCAGCTGGAGATCTACCATGTGCACATCCTTGCATAGCTGTACTTGTGAGCAGAGCTTGTGTTTGAACGTAAGCATGTTTTGTGTGTTTGAATGTATATCTGTATGTGTTGTAGTGTTAGCATTTGAATGCAGTTGTATATTTACATGTATTATTGATATTTGAAAGCAGTGATGCACTTGTGTTTAGTGTTTGTGTTTGAATGTAGAGTTGGTGTTTGATTGCTGGGGTGTATGCACATATGCACATACTGTGCACATACACACACAGAGATACACACACTGACATATACACTCTATCATAAACACACAGAAACACATTGACACATATACATACACAAACATTGGTCGCACTGTTAAAGAACTATGGTGCCCGAACGGGCCCCTGGTCAAAGATGTCCGTCGGGAGGTCATAAAGACATGGGCCACCTGATGGGTCCTCTGAGCTTGTGGGCCCCAGTGCAGGCACATCTGCAGTAGTTCTGCAACTGGTCCCTCTCAATCTCTTAGCCACCACCTTAAAAATAGACCTACACTGCCAAACCCCACACACTAATAAAAGTGGTGGGGGTGGGGCAATAAATTTAACCCCAAAAGGCCATTTCAAAATCCAAAAAAACAGCACCACAAATTAAAATGTAAAAAATGCCAGATAGCAAAAAAAAAAAGAACATCAAGACCAAACCTCAGTAAAACATAATCCATCTTCACGATGGACACCCCTTATATAGTCTTTCCAAGTCTATGGCAACTATCACAAAGTGCTGGAAAATTTCCCACGCTTTGCAATATGACTTAGTAAGCCAACCAATCAGAGCGTTTTCACAGCGAAGTCTCGAGAGAAGTCTCCATGAATCAGAACACTTACTAGCCATGTCTGTATTTTTTAGTCTGACTGGCCCTGTACAGCAGCGAATGGTTTTGCCCTATTCAGTACGAGCCATTTGGACTTTAGTGAATAACTCTATATATGTCGAGGCCCTCTTTAAAAGGTTGGGAATAGTATTTATGGAAAATGTACCTATTTAAAATCACAGTCTCTTTCTAATTAACTACTTAACTACTTTTAAACAATCACGGAGCAGTTGTAATTTAAATCCTGATTAATGAAAATGAATGTTCATAGTTTAGGATAATTTTATGAAAAGCATGACTGTGCAGCATGATGCAGACTTGCATGAATTACACCAAAACTAGTTGTGTTCTGCGACATTCATATTTAGACTTGTAATTGCATTATAAATGCACATTACATAAACTCAACCAAAATGAAAGCATTTCTGTTATTAGTCATGTACTTACATATTCTTATTCTGCAAATTCCAACAAATGTCCATAAGGTCTCAAACTAAAATCTAAACATTAAATCGCACATGTATTCCTTTAAATATCATATTTATCTGTTGTAGCCCTGCTGTATGGTTATAAATTAACTCTTCACCTGTCAAGTTTACATAATATTCGTGATAGGTCATATGAACAGTTTAGTCATGCAGACTTGAGTCTTCCAGAAGTGATTAGGATAATTGTGTGCAGTGATGGATATAAACTAGCAATTACAATTTCTGGTATCAAAGCAATTTCTAGCTATGCATTGTATTGTTTCTTTTTATGAAAATTATTACAATGTTACAGGTATACATTATTCATAGAGCTGTTGACTCCTTCAGTACTATGGTAATATAAGTTCCCTGTAATCATGGTAGTCCTAATGTACAAACTTTAAACATATCGTTTTATGATGTTGATCCATAAGAAGGCAAAAAAAAAATCGACAAGATAGTCAATTATGCCACAAAAAAGGGGAAAGGTCCATATGGATTCAATAATGGTAACCAGATTTATTCTTGTATCAATGACCTGTTCACATACATGTTAATTATAATCAATACAATCATCAATAATTATAAATTGAATATTCTGTTTTTTGTTTTTTTTTAACAAAGCTGGTCCTTTAATAATAATGTGATGAACTGGACCTCGTCACGGATTCTTGGAGGGGCCTGCTGGCCAGCCTCTTGCCTCAGAACTATGGGCCCTGCACTATACCTTGCGCAATGCACTTGAAAAGGATCTGTTATTATTATTATTATTATTTTATTATTTATATAGCGCCAACAAATTCCATAGCGCTGTACAATGGGTGGACTAACAGACACATAATTGAGATCAAACCACTGACGAACAGGAACAGAGTGGGTTGAGGACCCTGCTTGATGAGCTTACATGCTAGAGGGAGTGGGGTATAGTGACACAAAGGGTTAAAGTAGAGGTATTAAATAGTTTGTTACAGATGGGTTTATTGAGTGCTTGGTAGGTCATTTTTGACAGTTGCAGGAACGAAGTCATGGGGTGGGGGATGAGAAATCTGCTGACAGTTTAATTGATACGCTTTAATGAAGAAGTGAGTTTTCAAAGATTTTTTGAAGGAGTGGAGGCTGGTTGAAAGTCTGATTGAGGAGGGAAGGGAGTTCCACAGAATAGGTGCAGCCCTGGAGAAGTAGACTTGCTTGTCATCTGCATATAAATGGTATTGGAATCCAAAGGAGCTGATGAGTTTACCAAGGGAGGCAGTATAGATAGAGAACAGTAGGGGGCCGAGGACAAAACCTTGGGGGACGCCGACAGAGAGGGGTTGGGGAGAAGAGGCAGAGCCAGAGAAAGAAACACTGAAAGAGTGCTGGGAGAGGTAGGAGGAGCACCAGGAGAGAGTAGTATCCCGTAGACCAAAGTTACGGAGAATGTGAAGAAGCTGTTGATGATCAACGGTGTCAAAGGCGGCAGAAAGATCAAGGAGGATTAGGATAGAGTATTGGCCGTGAGATTTAGCAGCAATTAAATCGTTGGATACTTTGGTCACAGCAGTTTCGACAGAGTGACCAGCGCGGAATCCAGACTGAAAGGGGTCAAGCAGAGAGTTGGATTCGAGAAAGTCTGTCAATCTGGCGTAGACAACTCTCTCGAGGATCTTGGAGGCAAATGGCAGTAGCGAGATAGGGCGGTAGTTGGATGGGAAGTTGGGATCAAGGTTGGGCTTTTTCAGAATTGGGGTTACGGTTGCATGTTTGAAGGCAGAGGGAAATGTGTC